GATTGTGTCAGGAAGGTGAGCATCATGGAATGCCAGTTTAATAGAACAAAGTATTCTTGCATCTCAGGGAGTACTTGAGTGGAGGCCCAATGTCCATCTGCTACCTTAATATTAAACCTATAAATATATGCACATAAATGTATTTCCACATCCTCATACATAAATATATTTACATATGTACATGTCTTTATTTAGACCTCTATAAATGCCCTTTGTCTCCTAGCTCTTTCCTCTATTTCCTTTTACTTTCCTCTTGTCCACCTATCATGCTCAGCTTTCATTTTGGCTACAGTAATTCTTCTCAGTAACATTACCCTTGATCATGCCCTACCAGGCCTCTTACACCCTCCTCACCACCGATTTGGATCACGTGTTGTTCCCATGTCCCTGGGTTTGTTAACACCACTTCCTTTGCCCCCACACCCCCCTCTCCCATGTCCTCGTGGAACTGTCGGTCCCCTTGTTTTCTCCTCCAGATTGTTCATCCAGCCTCTCTTATTACACAGACCGGTGGCAGGACTCTGGGGCTGTGCTGTGGTTGGATCCCATCTCGTCTCTGTTCTGGTGCAGTGGAACCGCGTGGACCAGGAGGACCACTGCCGTCCTGCACCAACATCACGCGTGCTCTGGCGCTTGAGCCCGTCCTTGCGGCATCTAGGTTGGCAGCGTTAGGGGCGTGCACGGTGCTGTGGCCCCATTTCCATAACGTCTCAGACAGCAATGTCGGATCGGTCACTAAGGGTGGCCCAGGCTCCGCCCGCTCCTGCCGGACCCTGCCTCGGGACGCCCCGGCAAGTGGGGTTGCTGGCACCGTCTGCACCCAGAGCTTCTCCAGGCTGTGAAATGAATGGACTCAGACCCCGTGGGCTTTTTAGAGGAGCTGCTCTCGCCTGGGAGCATCCCCTGAAAGCCCCCCCCTCCCCGCACCCCATCGTTTCAGGGCTTGGTGACTTCTTTGTCTTTATCACTGCCTCTCACATGCATCGCCGTGGGTCGGCACGAACTCAACAGCTTCTACCCTAAGCCATGTTCCCTAAGTTCAGCACCGTTCATGTCCAGCCCCCTCGGCGTCTTGGCTACTTCTGGCTTGGTCCGCTATGAACACAGCGTTTGGTGCCGCCAGTGGTTTGGGATTCCGGGGCCGTCATCAATGTGCATAGAAACCTCCCTGTTGCTATCACGACAGCCTCCGGTGACAGAAGGTCACTTGACCTTCCTATTTGTCATCCTCACGGGGCAGCTGTTTCTAATGTTCGTAGAGCCTGCTTTATCCTGCTCTACACCTCCTGGTGTCGAATCTGCAAATGTGGCTCCAAGCCCCAGATCCCGTGGATGTTCTAGAACACTCTAGGAGTTCTAGAGCCTGTGTCTTGGGTTCAGGAGTGTGATGGGCTTGGACTATGGGTCCCTTTGCGGACGGGCCCAGAGCTGCTGTGTGTCCGTGTGAACATAGCTCGGCCCTCACCAGTTGGAGAAGACAACCCTTCCGCCACGAAGTGCTCTGCTTCTTTGCTGCCAAGGATCAGGGACTGCATGCGTGCGTGCGTCCCATAGGTGCTTTTAAGAGACGTGTGGAACTCCATCACTGAACACAGGGCCCAGTGAATCTCCCAGCTGACTCCTCTGCCCGATGTCCACCACATGAGAGCCCACCACAGCTGGACAGCACAGGTCTCTGTTCTGCATCCTGGCAGAGTACCACCCATGCGTGTCTAACGTGCCAGGCAGAAGTCAAGGAGCGCCCCAGTTCCCCAGCCAGGCTGCCCTTTCCGAAGCTCTGACCACTCCGGTGTGGGCCCTGAAGGACTTCTCCCCAGGCTGCCCAGGGGGCCGGCGTGAGAGGAACAACTGCTGACTCAGGACTGACCGAGGTTCAGTGCCCCCAGACCGCCCACCGCAATGCCAGTGGACTCTGTCCCCAGCCTGCCCCCACCCCACCCCACACTGACTATCCTTAAATTCTTCTGAGCCCTGGTCCCCTCTAGCTCCCTGCCTCTTTTCCTGCCCCTGACAATGCCCAGTCTTGCTTGGCCGACCTCTGCCTAGTGACTACTTCTAGCCCCAAGACACTCGCTCATTGCTAACCTGCCTCCAACCCAGTGGTCCAGTTCATGGCTCTTCTGCTGAGCAGGTTGGAGGGACAATGAGGTGGACATGGTGCTGGACATGCCCTTCCTGTGACCCAGTGGCCCCTCTGTGCCTCGTGGAGCCTTGATGCCTGCTCTCAGATGCCCTTTCTGAGCTGGTGCCCAGTCCTATGTCCTCTTGAGCACTGGGGTGGCGGTTGGGGGGAAGCCCAAGACCATTGAGTGTGGGAGGCTGAATGCATCCCCCCACGGGGCCTCTGGGCTCCCACATGTTCCCCTACCCAGCCTGCTTGATTGCCGTATGTTCTTCCGTAGCTGCAGGCTACACGGAGGGGCCACCCTGCCCAGTCACACCCCACAGGGATGCTTTCCCTAAGACAAATGGCTGCTGGGGAAACCACACGGCCCCGGCCAGTGATTCCAGGAATCCAACCCTGCTGTGTCTTTGCCAAACCTGGCCTCTAGCTGAGCGAGCTAAATGGATTAGGAGACAGACGGGGCAGGCGGCTATCAGGGACCCGGGCCATGGAAGCAGAGCAGTGGACCCCACTGAACTGCCCATATTATAGGGAGCTCTCTCCCAGGGACCCAGGGGGACCAAGCACCCAGACTGTGAGTGCAGAGCTGTGGACCCCGTTCCTCTGCCTCACCTGTGGGGAGCCGTCTCCTGGGGACCCACGGGGGCTGGTCACCCACACCGTGGGCCCAGGTAAACCCTGCTCCTCTGCCCTTCCTATGGGAGCTCCCTCCCAGGGACCCAGGAGGCCCAGGCCCCCTCCCCTCAGAGAGGTGCGGCATGACCCCACATCACTTGAGCAGGGAGCCCCTGCTCAGATTTGAAATGAAGTCTGAGTAGGGAGGAAGGAAGGACAAAGTACAAGGCAGAGGCTTTGACCCCCAGTGGTGCTTGGAATCTCTGGCCCCAGGAGCCCCCCACCCCATCCCTGCACCCCCAGCCGGGAGTGGTGCAGGCAGATGGGCCTGGTCTGGCAGAACCTGGGCAGCAGCACAGAGAGGCTGGGCAGTGCAAGGAGGGCAGGGCTGGGAGGCCGCACAGGGCTCTGGGTGCTGGCTGTGCCCTGCAGCTGTGAGGGCCCCGCAGACCGGGCACCGGTGCTGGCTGGGGAGAGGCGTCTTTACACAGTGGTCCTTGTGTGGCTGGAACAGATGCGGTGCTGCCCGCCATGTCCACTCTCATCCGGCCTGGATGGGCTGCCCTGCTCAGGAGGTGGGGCCAGCACATGGGCTGGTAACTGTGTGTATGTGGCATCCTGGAGAGCTGTCTGGGGTGGCCTGGGTTGGTGGCATCAAGAGCTAACGCGCTGGACACAGACACACACACACCAGAGACCATCTCGGGTAGAGGGTTGGATGGGTGGCATCGGGAAAAGAGCCAAAAGGAGGTGGCCTGGCATGCAGGGTCCCCAGGCTGTCTGCCTGGTCCCTGGTGGCCTCAGGGACCCCAGCTTCGAGGGGCTGCACCTGATCTGCATACGTCCATAAGAGGTATGTGGAGGGAGTGGCCACCAGACTGAGGACTGGTCCCTCCTGGAGGAGTTGGGGATGTGGAGCTCACCCCCGCTCTGCCCCCCAGTGTGAACCCCCTGGCCCTGAGGCTGAAGCCCCAGGGGAGGTTCCTCATCCGCGTGGCAGAACATGTGGCACGGACAGGGCGGGCAGAGCTTCCATTTGCCCTCAGGCACCGGATGAGCCACCCGCTGTCCCCTGCCCGTCTTGTGGGCCTCCTCCCCTCGGCACGTGAGAGGTACTTGGAGAGGGCCCCAGGCAGGTACCACCTGGGGGGCCCCTACCTCCAAGAGAAATATGTCAAGTGGACTCTCCCCTGTGTATAGGCCATTCAGCACCAGCCCAGGCCCCCCCTGTGGCATGGGGCGGTGTCGCAGCACCTGTGCATACCTGATAGCTCCCAAGGCACATGCCATGTGTCCTCCAAGCATTCATCCCGGGCTGAACCTGTGGCCCAGGGTCACTCATGTCCCCTGTGAAGGGATGTGTGTCTACCTTGCGCTGCTGTGCGTGCCTGGTGCGTCCATCCATGCACAAGCATGGCTACCTCTGCCCAGGGGAGGAGCCGAGGACCCACAGCCTCAACCTTCGCCCCCGCTGTCTCCACCAAGGCTCCCCTTGTTGTCAGCAGAGGGCAGCTCAGTCTTTGGGGTGGACTGCTCAGAAGGAGAGGTGGAGAGCTGATGGAACTTCTGATCCAAGATGTTGGAGTAGAGTTTGGGGACCACGGGGTTTTCAGTGATTGGGGCCGATGGAGCATGGGGTTGCCCTCCATCCACAGCAGGGACTTCATTTCCGACCGTGGCCCCCATGAGACCACATTTAATTTCCTGTCGGGGCAGCAGCTGAGGAGGAAGGAAAGGCCAAGGTGCTCAGCCAGGATCCTGGGAGGTGAGCAGAGAGAGCCACGCCCTCCGGAGAGGGCTGGCCCCTCTGTTGGAGGACAGGCTGGTGCCTAGCTGCAGGGTCAGGGTGATCTGGTGGCAGCTGGCCACTCAGCGTGCATCTGCTCTGTCTTACAGGTCAGCTGGCCGCCGGCACCTGTGAGATCGTGACCCTGGACCGTGATAGCAGCCAGCCGCGGAGGACGATTGCCCGGCAGACGGCGCGCTGCGCATGCAGAAAGGGACAGATCGCGGGCACCACGAGGGCCCGGCCCGCCTGCGTGGACGGTAAGGGCCTCAGGCCCTACATGGGGGCACAGTGGGAGGGCACGGGAGGGGCTGAGCCCCCACCCTCCTGTGGACAGAGCCCTGAGGGCAGGGCCAGCGGAGAGCGTCTTCTGATGGTGTCAGTGCGTGGGGCTGGGCGGCACGGTGTGCCTGCCTTTACCCTTGACCCTGCCCATTGCCTGAACATTCGTGTCCTCATTGGGTTGTCCACAGTGACCCATTCCCCGCTGTCGGGGTCACCTGGTAGACCAGGGTCCACCCCTCTGCCACCTCCTTAAGTCAGACCAGGACTCTATGGCCACCTGACCCCCCATTGAGAGGTGAGCAGGCCAGAGGTGGGAGCTGCCCTCCTGACCAGCCCCCTCAGGCTCTCAGGGTGGCAGCGGGCCAGGGCTGGGGTGCATGTTGCTGCTGGAGGTGATGGAGGCTTTGCCAAGGTGCTGGGGCTGGGCATGCACCACGGTGAGGCCACTTAATGTGGATGGCGATGTCCAGTGTGCTCCCACACGGATACCCCAGGCCCCTGGCTGGTCCCGCTCCATCCTCACAATTGCTCTGAGGCCTGAGCCTGTGGTTACAGCCTCCTTGCAGTCAGGCCATCTCCCCAAGGGGCTCCCTCTCTCTTGATGCCCCTCGACTTCACCAAGCTTGATGTCCTCTCCAGGGGCTGGTCCCTTTTGGCCCCATGTCTAAAGTGTCACCATCCTCACTTTGAACAGATGCAGGGTGCTTACCGCGGTGGGTTTCTGCGACGCTCATAGACCTGCACGTGCACCGGGAGGGCTGCTCCCCACAAGGCCAGCAGTCTGGTGGCACCAGTATTTCTCGTGGCTGCTCAGGAAAGGTGGCCATGTCTAACCCGACCAAGGCTGCCCGGCACAAGGGCAGACTAGCGACATGGGTGGGTGTGCTGGGCCCCACACCTAGGGGGATGCAAAGGACTCTGAGTGTCTGAGGGGACAGCTGTGTGACCTTCATGGACCTGCTGCGCACCCCCACACACTCCTCACTCACTGCCATCAAGGCAATGCAGGTTCACAGCGACTTGCTCCTGGGGTCTCCCAGACTGCAACTCTTTACAGGAATAGGAAGCTCTGTCTTTCTCCCCACTTTCTGCGGGTGCCCCAACACACGCACCCCTGCACCCCAAACAGCCTGCAGGTAGCAGGGGGCTGCAGCCCCTTCACTATGGACCCTGGATCTCCAGTCAGCAGTGCCCTGTGTCTGGGTGACTTGATCCAAGAACCGCACCCCCCCCCATTCCCACACAGATGAGGAGTGTGCATCCCTGGACAAGGGTCCACACCCCCTGCCAGCTCTTCCTGGCTAGCAGTGTGTCCCGGGAGGGAGGCAGGTGGACCGGTCACTCATTGCATCATTGGGGGCTGAATCCGAGCCCCCTCCTCTTCTTCTCCCAGCACTTCCACCCCCACCGCCGACCTCCACCCCCGCGCCTGCCCAGGATGCCACAGGAGCCAGGATTGAATGCCTCACCATTTTCAGGGGGGAGGGAGGGCCAAACAAATTAGTGAGCTGGTGTTTTTCTGCATGGTGGGCATTTTCTGGGCAGCCACCTAATTTGATTACTGCTCGTCCACTCTGGCTCGTTGTACATCACGGCCCCTTGTGCATGAAGTGTCTGCTGTGGGAACAGTGTGTGTGCCCAGCTGGGGTGGGTGAGATTCAGAGGGAGCGGCGCTCCTTGGGGTCTGTTTGTAACACCGTGCCTGGGATCTGGAAGTGTGGGCACCAGAAAGAGTAAGTTGACATATGTGCGTGTGCGTGTGTGTGTGTGTGTGTGTGTGTGTACTCATCTCTTCATTCCCAGGCTCGCTCACTCCCTCCTTCCTTCGTCCCAGTGGGCACATGGATACTGGAGCGGGGCTGAGAAGGATGACTGTGTCTTATCATGCAAAGACAGACTGCTGTGCATCTCCTGGGAGTCCTGGGAGCAGCATGGGTTAGGCATGGGGCTATTAACTGCAAGATCAGTACTTCACAACCACCAACTGCTCTCCAGGAGAAAGATGAGGTTTCTACTCTAGTAATGAGTTAGAGACTCAGAAACCCACAAGGGCAGTTCTACCCTGTCCTAGAGGGTCACTACGAGTTAGCACCGACTCCATGATATTGAGAGAGTTTTGAGCTTCAGCAAAGTGGCCATTTGGGGAGGGTTTTGATGGGTGAAGAGGAGTCTGTCAGACAGGCCTCTCTTCATAGATGGGCTTACAGGTGGCAGAGGCTATGCATAGTCCTTGGCCCCCCTAATCTTGTCTCAGTGCCCTCAGTATTTCTGGGGAACGGTTCCCAAACCCCACACAAGAGGCCCACAGCCTGCAGAGGACTTGAGATTTCCAGTGAGCAGGAAAAGAGGTTTGTGCATGGTCATCGTCCTCTGACAGCAGCCAGCAATGTCCAAGGAGGCCGGCCTCACTGCTGTGGGGTCTCTGAGTCTCCCTTTTCCTGGGGACGCTGCCCTCCATTGGAGCCCCACCTGCCCTATATCTGGGAGTTGTCTGCGGGCCAGCTCTCTCTGCGGCAGGTGGAGACTGTGACCTCCTTGTGCCAGACAGTCTGTTGGTCCTCTGGTCAGTGGGGTGGGGGTGGGATGGAGGGCCGTTACTGGGAGAGGACGCCTTTCATCAGCCACTTGCATCAGCGATGAGAATGAACAGAGGAGATGTGGGCCCCTCATCCTGGAATCGGACAGACTGGCCCACACGCCTTCCTGCCTAGCCTGCAGGCCACATCCCAGCCCCCAGGAGCTCCCCGAAGATGGAGATGCCCTAGCAGGCATGGCCTCACCTGGTCAAGGGACAGGACACATCAGCTCAGCTCTTCGGACTCAGAAAGATCAGAGATGTCTGAGGTGGTGCTAGGCGGCTCAGACCTGTGCACACAAGGAAGCACCCCTTTCCCAGTAGGGACTGGATCCTACGTCCTCATCCCCTGGTCACTGAGAGGAAACGGTGCTGCATGATTCTGACCACTGGCCCACAGGCCTGGCTCTCGGCAGGAGGCTTCCATGTGTCCAGACACCTAGAGAAGCCAGTTCGCATGTGTGTGTCCATGTAGAAATGTGTGTCTCCTCTGCGTCCCCCTCTAGTCTCCTTGCGTGTAGCGTCAGGGGAGGCAAGGCAGAGCCTGTGGTGACATGGTGCCCTGCTTTCTGCAGCCAGGCCCTCCTTCCGTCAAGTGACATTGAGACCTTTGTTCCTTGAGATCTCTTAGATCTCTGTGGCCCCTGGAGCCTCCAGGCACTAGCTGACACCAGATTGCAGCTGGTGTATGTTGCATTTGGGGGGTTCTGTGAGCTGTTCACCACCGTCATAATGAAACATGAGATTCCACAGGCTCACACTCAGACGTGTTCTGTTAAAGGCAAAGATAGACACCTACAACATCAAGGAAGAGAGAGCCAACGGAACCCAAAGTGAGAACAGAAGCTCTCGTGAGAAAGCACATAGAAAGTAATGACATCGAGGATGGTGAAACAGCCAAAATCAATGAACAGAAAAGCTGGTTCTCTGAAAGGATGGACAAACCATCATCGAGCGTGCGCAAGGACTGAGGTGGAGGCTAAAAACAGCAAAATCAGGAACAAAGGAGACGTTGTTGCTACTGACCCCACAGACGCAAGAAAGGACCAGAGGAGAGACGATGAGTATGCGTGTGCTAAGAAATGAGGTAAAGGCTGTGAAATGCACAAATTCCTAGAAAGCTGCACACTGCACAAACGCACCCCAGAAGAATGGAAAACGTCATCCGATCCATGATGAGTCAAAAGGATGAATGAGTCATCAGTAAACCGCCCCCAAAGAACTACCCCGGCCCAGGTGGCTTCACTGGTGGGCCCTGCCAAACAATCAAAGAAGGCACCAGTGCTTCACCAATTCAAGAGACGACTCTTCTTCACTCATCAGGCAGGGTTCATCCGATCCGGGGCGTTCAAGCTAGTTGGGAAGATATCACAAGAAAGCCAACTACAGACCCTGAGAGTGCAGACACAAAAACTACAGCAAAAATAAGTGGAATCCTACAAGAGGTAAAAAGGATTACACACCACGGGCAGGTGGGCTGTCTCCCAAGAATTCAAGGTTGGTTTGACAGTCCATGCGATTCACCCAGGGAGCAGACTCTGGAAGCAGCCCCGACGGCTATCAGCAGACCAAGGAAGAACAGGTGCCCAAACCCCAACACCTGTCAGGATGCAGTGAAACTGTGAGAACCAGGACTCCGGAGGTCTGTTGTCTGTCCGGGCCTGGCACGTTCTCATCTTTGACGGTCTTACCCCTCCCCCCACCGGATCTCATTTTAATGGCAGTTGTTGCTATGTTTTACTGTAAAAACACTAAAAACACTAAACAAACCATAACAACCTCCATGACCCCGAAACCAAACCTCAGTGCCATTGGGTCTGTCCTGAGCGGCTGCGTTCCATCCACCCCTGGGTTTGCCAGGCTGTAAACCTTCGCAGGCAGGAGCAGATGGCGTCACCTGTGCCTTGCCTTGCTCCTGGCGCTTGAGGGGAAGCCCTCTTATTTTCCCATTGGGAACGATGCCAGCTGTGGATTTCCTTTAGAGATGTCTGGGCTGATGCTAGCCTCAGACTCACTGAGAAAAGACAGGGAACTTGTCCCAGAAGATCCGGAACGGAACAAAAGGACTTGCTCCTCCAATATCTACTCAACATGTCCTGGAGGCTCTCTCTCATCAAGGCAGCTAAACAAGAACGAGGAATGGCAGCGCCCAGGTTGGAAAAGAAGACGTGGGACCTACTCTGCTCACCATCAGCATGATCATGAAGGAAGAAGTTCCTGGAGCGTCCACACAACAAAACCCTGCTTGCACCAATGAGCAGTCCCCATAGGGTCACGGGATGCTGGATCTACGGTTGATTTGTGATTCTGCAGGGAGGAAGAGAGTAAGGCAATGAGTGATGCCAACAGGAAATGAAGGCGACAGTCACATCTGTGGTAACATGTACAGGAACTAGAGGA